TAATAAATGAGAATAAAAATATCAGTAATAAAAAATAATATGGCTTGTTTTAAATTACCTAGGAGTATGTTTGCTGAAAATAATTTGTACCAGCCCAATACCAAGCAAAATATGAGTGTTGTAAAATGTGAGAAATCTATTCTCCCACAGCTCAGGAATACAGAAATTCAAACTGGCATGCTTATACTCTGAAACTCTGAGTAAAAGTGATTATGTTTTTCTGTGAGTCAGGTCATGAAATATCATCAGTACTCAACTCCATTTTCTCTATCTGGCCTATTGGTCTTTCCAACCACATGAAGTCCAACAATAATGGCCTTTTACATGCTGATCACCTCATAAAATAAACAATTTTCAATCATGAATCTTAGGTATTAGTGCTTAGAGTCTTAACCAAGCCTTCTGGGAGACACAAGTCTAGAGTCATTTATAACCTTTTTAATATAATGAAACTGCAGGCCTCTGTGACAGTCATAAATGACATTGTTGTATTCAGAACTTGTTCCTTAATACATAGCAGATGTATAGTGGAGGTGTGAGGCAGTGCTCAGGTTAGAAGCTAAAACATACATTCAGCTTTGTCACTTAGGGTCTGTAAACTAGTAGAAAGGAGCCCATGTGAAGATATGGGTGAGATGTTAGGTAAATGTGTGCATGATAATGTTTTCAGACTTTATAGTTACAATTATTGAACTTTCTGCTCTTCAGATAAACTTCATTTAAAGTATTCTGAATGAACATTTTATACATGTTGAGTGGAGTATATAAACTCTCATTAAAATAATTAATTAACTAAAATTAATTAATTAATAATGGAAAGTGGAGGGGGGTGTTTTCAGTACTCCACACTCAAAGAAAAGCAAAAATAGTTGCTGAATCTCTTTCTCTGGGTGTGAGGGTATCAGGATTTTATATTGACTGAATGATTCAACATTGAAAAATCAAACAAAGCACAGTAAGTCTGAGTTCAAAAAGTAAACAGAAAACCTAATCTCATCATTGATTGAACCATTGATTAGGAATTCATGAATTCAGCCTGTCAGTTTTCCAGGATTGAGACAAAAACATTTTGGAGTATAGAGAGACATGGAGGAAATATTGGTATGTAGTCATGTAAGATTTGTAAAAATAAATACAAAATATTTTTAGATTCCTCCAGGAAATTGGCAAGTTAAACTGACAATTTTAAAAGTTTTAAAGAGCAGGATGCACTACTGCTTTTCACTGGCCATTCTGCTTGGCACATTTTTTCAAAGATGTTTCTCATCTCATCTCCCTTGACATCCTCCCTTGCAAGGTCTTTGCATCATCCTGAGTCACTGTCTCATGAAACTTTTGTGGTAGAGAGCTCTGGGCAAGTCTATTGAAGAAGCTTCATCCCTGGGGTCTTGCTGTCTGTCCTCTTAGATGAAGTCATTCGTCCTGTGGTTAAAGAAGATCCCAAATGTCTTTTGAAGCTTGTTTTTATCTTGAATGCCAGGTCTCAGATGGAAAGTCTCAGAGAAGAAAGGTTTTCAAATTCTCCATGGAGTGTAGATGGAACATGTCAAAAAAGTGTGTGATTAGAGTGATGACTTCAGACACCAACAGTATTACAAACGTTTGTTTTCCCAAAAATATGAGCTCTATATGTATCTGCTGAACACATTGGGATTCCCTGACCCCCATGCTTACAGTGTGGAAGACACTTCTATTTTATAATGGTCTCTTTGATTTTTCTTTTCTGGCTCCTGCAGTCTCTTGTTCCTTTGTCTTCCTTCGATGCTTCTCAATGCCATTCAAAAGGACACAATTATTTATATCAAGATGGAAATGTGCTGATTGCTGTAGTTGTTCCAGTTTTGTATGTTTTTGACACTACAAAAAATGATTTTAGACCTGAAGCACAGAGTATTGGCGAGTAAGTACTTTTAAAATGTATGTCTTTTCATTTTTCAGATTTTATCATCCTCAAGTAAGTTTGATTTCACACGACTTTAATTTTTTTCCCATTCATACATTCCCTCTCTCACACTCCTAAAACTCCTTTTCAGGTGTGTCTTCATGTTCCCTTTTTTCTTCTCTCAAAGAAAAAGAGTTTGTTTTAATTAATGTTATTTTACCCATTTGATACCCTGAATCTCTCTATGTTCCTCTGCTGTGCCTTTATCTGTCCAATGGTGGAACATTTTCATGGATTTCTATGCAGATGAAATATATTACAATTTGTCTCACTGTTTCGGCCCATTTTCAAGGGTAGTTGTTCTCCTTTGAGAAGAAATGATGGCATTCTTTGCAGTGACTACAGAGTCCTTATGTGATGGTGGAGTGACAGGGACTGCCTTGGTAGCTACTGCTGATTAGCAAGTCAGAATGTGAGAATTTGGTGTTCGGTCTATTTCTTTTCAAATGCTTTCAAAATGACTTACATTTTTAATCTATAATTTTGATTAGTATTCTTTTAGATTCTCTCAATTGTGGACCATTTGCTCCATTTCATTCCTATGTTTGTAATTATTTATAACTGGTACAGATATATTCTGGAGGTCACATAGATGCTGATGGTGACCTCAGTGGGTAATATCTAAGTTAGTTTTGTAAAGACCAGAGGACTGTGGCAGACAAGTTAATAGAAGGTCTTGGACTCTGCTGAAGGGAAATCCCTACACATAATGCTTTGTAAAGGAAGGACAATCCATTTTATTCCATGCATACTTTTTTTTTGTGGCCAAAAGATTCATGGGATCTGAAATGGAGGAAGATGGCTTATACTAATTTTTAACACAGTGCTGTAAAATGGAAATGCAGAAGCAAAGTTCAGGTAGAGAGTCAGAATCAGAATATAGACAATTAGGAGTGATGATGAATTTAGGTCCTTGTGATATGATTGTGTTTTTATTGAAAGCTAGATGAAGTGCTAAGACTTTGTCACAGCAAATGTAGCATAGGAGAAATAATCAGAGGGGAAAAGTTGGTAGACATAGACATTTTTTATTTATTTTACCTATGCGGTCATACTCATTAAATAAGTATGTGAATTTAATATTAATTTGTAATTTTGGTATTACTATGAACAAATTGAATGAGGTCAAAGTCCTCAGTTTTAGTTTACAGAAGCATTAACTTATAATCATTTTGTTATTAAATATATGATATGAACAACAAACGATAATTCCATATGAGTAATCTCTACATACATAACACAAAAACATATTCTGTAAACTAAGATTTTATGATTAAAACATGTTGAGTTTAAATTTTTATCACTTCCTTGTAAAAGGGAAAGTTAACATAGCAATCTTTAATAAACATGTTGTTAGTCTGGGCAGACACAAAAGCGGACACTCAGAGAATAAAGCAGCATGAAGGGCAAAGGACATTTTACCTTAGAGGAAAACTGACTTGGATTTACCAGTCAGAATTAGCAGTGAGACCCTGTTGAGCCTACTGTAGTAGCTCTTTTCTGGCTGAAGCCTGTCTCTCATTGGCAATACCAATCTTTTGAGTGTCTGTTGGTATCTGTGTATTTCAATTATGTGTCTTTAAGAGCCAGTAAATATATCAGGTAAAGCCTATTCATGTTAAAACATTAAGAACAAAACATTAAGAATTACAACATAAACACCTTAGAGTTCTGATATTTTCTGAATGTCCAAATTCTGCCAGGAGGGTATTCAAGGTTCTAGTGTAATCCACTGTTCCTGGGAGGTAAGAACATAGTGAAGGGATAGAAAAAGAGGCTGGCAGATGAGGGAAAAGACAAAATTCCTAGAAAAAACCAGAGGGTCTGATTCATGTATGTAGGCTATTAAATCATAAGAAACTCACTCAGTCATTCTGCTCTTCATTATATGGTTCTAAGAAAGGAAAAGGAGATGGCATTGGTAGAAATAAAAGGTTGGTCAATGTGCTTGTTTGGGGGACTCTCAAACCCCTCCAGGTTCAGATCCAAATGTTGCTTTGGGATTGATGCATGCAAAACAGTCAGCCATAAATGCAAGCATCATTGATTTTAATTAGAAAAACTGAAATACTGCAGTCTCTTCCTCTATGTAGAGACAGCATGAACGTGTTGTGGGGTCCCTGGGGTTTTATAGTACACATTCGGGGAGCCTTAAAGGATGGAAGTTGCCATCTACTGGTTAAAGCATCAGAGAGTTAGGGGCATTTGTATGTGTTTCTACTTACCAGAAGATTGCACAAGTAATATCTGTTCAAGTAAACTTTATTGTCCCAAAAATTTAGACCCATCTGAGGCTTGTAGGTAATTACATCACCACTTACTATATACCGTGGCATTTAAATGATAACCGTTACCATGACAACAATAATTATTGTTTTTAGATGTATAACTGTGGGAGCCCATTCTCGGGTTCCTCGTGGCTTTACCCAGCAGGTCCGAATAGAGGATGATCAGGACCACAGGCCTGAGTGCAGGTGTCTGAGATGGTCTGCACTTGGCTGTGCTGGGGGAGGAGGTCTTTTGCTCCACCCCTTGGCGTCTCTATAAAAACCCTGGGCCAGAGACAGTCGGGGCCCGTTGGAATAGGTTCCAGGCCCTCTCGAGGCTATTCTTTATTTTCTATCTGTTTATCTCCCCAAGATTCTCCACTATAAATCCTTCTAATATTTCCTGCTGCTCGCACTCAAGAAAACTCTGGGAAGCTGTGGGGGTGGTGGGTAAACGCCCCACAGAATGGCGCCGTGAACAGGGACTAAAGAAAAAAAGGGACTAAAGAAAAAAGGGACTAAAGAAAAAAGGGACTAAAG